TGGTGAGATAGAGTTGGATTGTTTGACCGTGGTGTAGGTAGGTCCTCTATTAAGTGCTATTCCAGTTTGTTTTGTGGTTAAAGGCACCGTGTGGGTTTGTTGCAGTTTGTGATTCTGTGACCAGTAGGCATATGTAAATTCTTTAAGGCCGCACAGTGTGACTCTTTGTTACAAATCAATGAATTAACGGACACAGTAAATGTGCATATAGTGATTAATGTGTGCCCCGCTGATGTTTCTGCTTCGTATAAATAACTTGCAGGATCCTTAATACCACATCTCTTTTCAATCCAAAATCCCAGGCCTATTGGTCAGACCTCTTGTTCTCTCTGCAACCGAGGTGTGAAGTTACAAAGGTGGGTGGTTGGGCTGTGATCATTGGGTGTTTTTTAGCCGTCACTTTCTATACATGTAAGAGCTTTCAAGGGAGACATGTTGAAACAGAGTGATAACGAGCTGTGACTCGATTTTTAAGCTGTCGGAGGTGAGATATCTACACATTCACAGTGGAGGACAACCTGCCAAAAAAACAGGAATAGTTTGTTTAGGAATATATATTTATTTTATCTGAATATATATTTATCTGATCTGGCCAAATGCATTTAAATTCTATCTTTATGTTTTTTTCCCATTATGAAACCACATTTAAATTCACAAACACTTATAAATATCTATCCCCTAAACATGACTTATTTCAAAAAGGAAACAAGATCCAGGAATTATTCTCAAATATACGAACATTGTAAAAAAAGAACTCTCTCGCCATGTTAAGTATTTAAAAAAAATCCTGGATCCAGCCTGTTATCCAGATACCTACCAAAATGTTATGGGTTCTTCCTGGGGTCATGCTCCACCCACAAATCCTCATTGAAATCGGTGTAGTAGTTTTTGCGTAATCCTGCTAACTGACAAACAAAAGTAAGTAAACATATATTAGATTTTACCTGTCTTATATGTATTTTATGTATATTGTATAAGCCTTTTAAATAGCACGTTGAACTAGAGTGAACTTTAATTATTTCAAAATAAGTCCTTGCATCGTCTTTACTACTTTACTTTCTAATTGTTACACATAAAAAACAATTGCTTATACCTGTGTATTGGGCTCTTGCAGATGTTTGTGTAAAAAAACCCACTCCACAAAACAAAAATGTTTTTTTATATTTCAACTGTCTGCTTGTATTTCACTGCCGAACACCTGCTGCTGATCTGTTGAAATGTACGTGTGTCAGCAGACCTTTTCTCAGCAGCCATTTCACTCACATTAACAGAGGCTCCGAATAACACCTCTGTTTACTTGCTGTACTTCTTCATGTCAAAATGAAGGTAAAGTAAGTAAAGTATAAAACCTTACATTATAGTATATAACATTAGGAATAGGAAAAAATATAATAATTAAAATATAAGTGAAAAAAAACACAATAATCAAGCATTCGAAACACTTCCTGTTTACTCGCAATGTGCCTGTGAATGTGTTTTGAATTCCTATAGTTTATAACTGTTGGTAGTTGTTTGTGCAGATAATGGGTATCAAAAAATCCATGCAAGACCTGCACCATAATTCACTTCTCTGTTATTCACTCGTATGCTTTTTTTTGTATGTTTCTGTAACAAACACATAATCAGCAGGTCCCCTCCCTCCACCTCTCAACAGAAAATAAATTATTTGGAATCTGACCTTTTAGCCCCAATTTCAGATATCTCCAATGATCGAACATGCTCTTATGTTATTGTGTCAAACCACTTCCAGGAACCGTGTGCTCCCTGTAGATTAGACCTTGGAGTCTTATCATAATGGCCTCTTAACCCACAACATTAATGATAATTTATACAAGCTCAGGTATTCATTTTGACAGAGCTATATATTGATTTTTCTCAGAAATAACAGAGAGAGTAATCTGAGACTGCCGTCATGTGAATGGGTAAGGAAACCTTACCTTAGGGAGATGTTGTGGGGTAAAGGAAAATGAAATGTGAGTTGATCAGTTTTTAAAATTTTACCAGTGTGGTGTCAGATGGTTGAAGATCGTGTCATCGCAACCCAGCTATAGCACTGTAAAGTTGAGGTACAGGAAAGATGTTAAAAGATCTTCTATATCTTCCAAAAAAGAAAGAATTATGGTGATTACCTGCAGTCATGTGTCTTGTAAATAGATATCTTGATGTATTCAGTGGGTAAATAATACCAGTCATTATCAGGAGAAAGAGGCAAGAGATTTCATTACCTTTAGACTGAGCTGTTTCCTTTTTATTTTAAAGGAAATTAACATTTCAAACCAAAAGATGAAAAACCAAGCGAAACAGAAACTTTAACAGTTACACACATTTATCTCAGGAGTTCAGGTCTCTTTTCAGTCAGATCTCCACACAATGACTCTTTCGTTCAGGTAACTGATAAAAGCATGGCACACAGCATTTGGAGCAACATCACTACAATCTAAGTAACTACAATCTCATGGTCAGCAGGCAGCAGGTATGAAAGGAAATAAAAGAAGCAGTCATAAGCATTGTGCTAAGTAACACAAAGGTGACTAATCACTGTGAAAATGGTCTTATACAAGAAGTGTAAAGAGAAAGTTAAAGCATGAAATCGCCAGTTCCCAACCTGAGGATATTCCCAGAGTTTGTTAGAGATAGATAGATAGATAGATAGATAGATAGATAGATAGATAGATGTGTGTGTTGAATCTGTATAAGCAGAAGATAAACTGAATGCCAATGGAATTCTGTTTGACTGAACTCTCTTATGTTGACCATAAATCAAAAAGGAATTTAGACTAGATTCATTTGTATTCACTTAATGAGTATTGACTTTTTTCAGGGGACACGAGGTGAATAAACACACAAATATAATGCCTTTGAAAGAATTTATTAATACACACGTCAAGAAAAATGCCTTTCTTTTGCACAACATAAGAGCAGCTTGTTTGCACTTTGCTCCACAAAGTATAAACAAATCAATCATCCTTTATCTGAGCTCTATTAATCTCTGATTCTTTGTGTAAAACTGACATCATGTAATCTCCCTTCAGTCGATTTGGATAAAAGTGCCAGGGCGGTCGTACTCCAAGAACGTGGGCAGCTCAAATCCCACACACAAACACATTCCTTGTGTACATGTAGGTGTCTGCCGACAAAATAAAAGGGGAGCAATGTCATGGTGGAGAGGAGGCTTAAGATGTACTCTGAGTAGGTGATTCCTTGTTGGGGAAGGAGTGGCGATGTTGCGGGGTCAAGGTAAAACACGGAGTACAAGCAGCTCTGCTGTGTTGCTCAGCTGTTGTGTAATTACTGACAGATGAAGTCAGCGTCAAGCACTTTGTCATACAGTTTATCTCTTGTTCAGGATCCAGGATGAGTTTAGCTTGAAAAGCAATTGGCATTGAAAAGAAATGGCATGTAACACATGTGTCACTGTCTGTCTTTCAATATATCTGAGACAAGAGGAGCGTGACGGGTTGTCCAGTTACATATAGACTTGACAGATGAGAGGTGTGGTTGAGGCGTGGCCCTGCTCTCGAACACAAGTTAATTAATTTACTGTTTCAAGTCTTTGCTAATGCTACTTATACATACATATGACATTTTATCACTGAACTCCAAACAGATTCCTTGAATGACAACGGGGTAAACACGGTGAAATAAGAATGTCAGCTCTATTAGCCCAAAGTGAGTATCTCACTTTGTCCACAAGGAGCTTCCATCAGACCAACACAGTTTGCAACCATCCTATCTTCGCTGTCCGATCCCTTCACAGTTTTGCTTTCCATTTTCTCTCCTGAGCTGGTCAAACTGGTCTGATGGGTGCAACAAAACCACAGCCTCTGGAGGCGCAGGGGCTCTTGCCAGACGGCACGCCTGAAGATGAAATATATGAAAGGGTTGTACATGGTGGCGCTCTTGGCAAAGAGGCAGGGCAACAGGGTGATGAAAGGAGTTATGTGGCTCTGCTCCTGGGAGTGAAACATGCTCCAGAAACTCACAGCCACGTAAGGGGTCCAGGAAATCAGGAAACCCATGCTGATAGACACGGCCATCTGAAATAAGAAGAGCACAACAACCAAACAGGTGAAAGTGTAACTTCACTCCAGAGTTGTGTTTCTCACTGGAAATTCAGACTCAGACATCGATTTTAAAATGAGAGCAGCTTCCAGATTCCCACTAGCGGTCACTGGTGGCAGGGGGCCGCTCACCTTTAATTAGAGAGTGTTAACCTTGAAAGAGATGGTTTAAAACACTATGTGGCATTATGAGCCATGTTTAACCCATAAATGTAGATGAATACATTTGATAATTAATATAATATTAAATGCCTAAAAGGTTCAGTGTGTAAGATTTATATAACAAATAATCCTATTGATGTTTTCACTTGTGCGCTTTATCTAAATTGTACAAATTGTTGATTTCTGTATACCATAGAATGGGCCCTTTATATTTTTATCCTTTACTTCGGGGGCGGCACCTCGCTACGGTGGCTGCCATGACAACTGAAGGCTACCACAGGTTCTCTTTCATGTTTGGAAGGGGAGGGAGAGGTGAAGGGGATTCAGCTGCAACATGCAACTTCACTATTAGATGTCATTCAATTCTACACCTGAACCTTTAATGTAGTTCATCAGACAGCATCAATATAATAGCTCAAAAAACACATTGAAATACGCAGTGTTCTCTTTTGAATCTGAACAAAAATCAAAGCGTGAACCGGACATAGTCAAGAAATCTCTTCCCTTATTCACAGTCTTTATGCTACGATGAGCTAACTGGCTGCTAGCCTAATGTTTTTTCATTTAATTTTGATGCAAATCAAATGTTGTAGCGTGTGGAAGCAACAAAGCAGAAACCTAATCTTAGACAAAAGTTACTTAAATTAAGGTTTTTGGGTATTCATAAATTAAATAGTGATGGGTGTGAGTAGGCAACTGTAAACAATACATGAAACACCTCAATGAGAAAAGAGAAACATGTAGATTTTTCTCAAGTCTGTGTAACCACCTAACTACAGCACATTTCATTTGTCTTTTGAAATCATTGTGTTGGGATGTCTTGATACGTGCATTGTATAAAAGCGCTGTATGAGCGTGTGTGTCATGTGATTGTGCATTGTTGTGAAGACTAAAATGCCAGTTACCATTGTGTTACCATGGCTACATTGGTAAGACCAAGCCGGTAATGTAAATATGAATTACAAGTGAGAAGAACTGAGCGTGGGTCTATTTGTTTGGACAGGTAGGATTTGACAGTCTGTCATATAATTTAGAAATAGTAGCTATGCTCAGATAGACAGTCTCTTTCCCTGTTCATCATTACACTTTACAAAGCCTGACAAGTCCCTCCTTTGAATATTCCAAGTCATCAGTATCCTCATCTTCACATCTAGGAATATGAAAGAGATCAAATGATTAGTTTCAAACATGACCAGATGGTTTGATACACAGAACCATCTGAGGAGGCTTTGTTGGAATCTGTTGGAAAAGGGTATATACTTTCAAAAATATACTTGGCAGGTGATAAACCATCTATGACCCTCTAGTGCGTCCACCTGTCAGGAGGAGTGCGAAAACAACTTTTCCATCGACAAAAACCTTCATTCATCGTTCTCTGCTATTGCAGTCATACACTTGACTAACTATAAAAATCCTGAAACTCTATAGAGATTTTGAAATGGTTATTCACCTTCTTCTATAGATTGTATATGAAAATGGACAACACGTCTCCACTCCCTCCCTCTATACAGAAATTAAGCCAAAATATCTGGGAAAGCACCACTGCCATCTTGCTAATAAGACGTAATTTGGAGCCAGAGAGGCGATTGGAGGAGCTTATATAACTGTGGCAGGTGGAACTGGGTGGAAAGCGGCTGGTAGTCAGCATGGACGGAATAGTTTGGCAATTGAGCCGGTAGTGGGCAAAAAAAAAGATGGGGATTGCCCTTGGGGCTGACTAGTTTTCTTTTCTTTGTTTTGCTTCCAGCTTCCCTCGCTGAGCTGTGTGCTGGTCGAGTCTCAGCTAGCAATCATAATTGCTTATTTACCACTTTGGTTTCTTGTGCTTTATCGCTTATATTAATCACATGTAGCAGGTGTAACATGAGGTGGCACGTAGTAGCTGTAGAACAGTCTTGGTAAGATCGGAGCAGAACTCTAGTAGATTCAAGTTTCCTTGAGTGGTGTGAGAGGAAAGAGCAATAGAGCGAAACAGAAAAGCTTTCATTTTGTTTTCTTGAGTGGTTCCTTAAGTGATATATCCCAATAAAAAAAGCACTTCATAATCCACATCTCTGATCTGTGGAGCATTTTAATTCAGCTCTGATGGATCTGTAATTCAATGGAACCTAAATGCTCAAAGTTAAAATCAGTGGGACAGGTACAGTCATGCTTTTCATTTGTATCCTCAGGGCATTTGCCGCTACACAATCAAATCTGTTGTGTTCATAAGAACCTATCTATTAAATCTGATGATAATGATGATCCTCTGACCTTGTCTGCTCCGTGGAGCACGTCGAGTTCCCAGCGGCAACATTTACCTGCAGCCTGACCAAACTATTTTATTGCGTTACACACTATTGATTTATAATCAAAAGGAATTACACTTTAAAAATGGACTTTGTATTGATCAATTTGATTTTGTATCTTGGCAGCTTCAGTCATCCACATCATATCCAGACGGTTTCAGCATCGCATTTAGACAACCGCAACCTACTGCATCAGTTTTAATAAAGAAATGTTAAATAAAGAAATAGTCATAGCTTCAAAGAAGAATTTGAGTCTTTTTTTTTACACAGACACACTTATCATCATACTTATGATCACACTCCACCTTTCATCTCACACTCACAGGTGGAGTTGTGCTCAAACATGGATCATACCAATCCACTTTCAGTAGCAGTGTCAGTGAGTAGGTGCTCCAGGTGAAGTCCTGTACTGTACTGTGTGTGCAGCAGCATGTGTGACTCATCCTCTGTTGTAGTCCAAAAACTACAAGATACATGAATGAGCCAAACCGCCACACTGGTCTTCCATTAGCGAAGAACATTTTCTGATCAGGGTCAAACTCTGTTGTTCATTTGGAATCTTAAAAATAAAATAACAACAATTCTATTATTTGGCAAATGAAAACATAAAAACCATGTTATACTGTTATAGGAGATATTACCACCTGCTATTGTGTGACACGCAGGGAACATATCACAGGCCCAAAAAAGCCCTTTTTCAAAAACTTACAGGAGCTACACTTAAAGTAGAAATAATAACAGCGTAAAAACAAAAAGTCACGCGATGAAGCCGAATCAGCAGCTGCAGCAGAGAAGAGGGAGCTGCTGATTGGATTCCTGCTGATTTCTACCATAACACTTAAAGCTTCGGCCTCCAGCTGTGTTCTTTGTTCACTTGTGCATCACCTTTCTGCTGTTTCTTTCTCAAATCAGGGATCCCATTTTACAGTGACAGTTTGCAGAGGCTGATTATAACTGTAACTATTATTTTTTAGCTTTTTCATTCAGTGAGAATGAAGGATTGTTCTGCAGAACACTCACAGAGAGATGCTCTAGGCAACGCTGCGTTTTGTTTATTTGTTGTGTTCATGATTTGAATAAAGCTCTGTATTTTCTGCTGCTTTATTCTGCTTTTACATTTCACGAATAAGGTTTTCTTGTCCAATGAAATTGTTCCTGTCAGTTACAGAAAACTGAAATGGATCATCTGATACTTACCAGGGTGATTTTCTTCTCAATGTTTCCGTATTGAAAATCATTGCTCTGGATGGATCGGTAGGCTCTGTGCAGCTTCCAGGCGATACCGAAATAGGTGAAGACGATGACCAGACAGGGGAGGAATGTGCAGAGTACCGACAGAGTCATGATAAAGGTGGAGTGGTTTAGGGACTCCCCGTAACCGGTCCAGTCGATGGAGCAGGAGAGTCCAAACGGCTCCGGGCCGTAGCTTCCCCAGCCGAGCAGAGGTAACAAGGCCCACAGGCCGGCGTACAGCCAGATCCCACTGATCACAATGCACACAGTCCGCCTCTGGAACTTGATACCTGTGCAGAGACAGAACATTAAATATATTGCATTCTTGGTGTACAAAGACAAATTAGCACAAGTGTGAATGTAAATTACTGCCTGACAGAAACGAAACCCTCAGGGTCCCAATGATCTTAAGGATCACAAATGAAAAGGCTTAATTCACCAGTTGATCTCCAGGTTTCCATAAGAGGTAAATCCCTGTGACCTTTAAAAGAATTGACTGCTTCCTTATATTTTTGATGTAAGAATGCCAAAGGGTAATTAACTGCCCCCCCCCCCCACCGCTTGATTGCGCTACCTGTCTTGGGTGGACTTCCTGTTACCAGGTACCTGACCATCCCCAACGCTGCCAGTGTCATGATGCTGGTTATACTGAAGATCATGCCCATCAGGCCGTAGTAGAGGCAGGACGCGTCGCCACCGATCCAGGCGTGGTTAAATGCAGATGCGATGGACAGAGGATACATGCTGAGGGCCATGCCAATGTCCGTGATGGCTAAGTTCACCGTCAGCAGCTCAGGAGCTTTGAGCAGAGTGAGGCGACGGGCCGCGCTGACCAGGATGGCGGTGTTCCCCAAGACGGACAGGACGGCTGCAAAGATATAAAATAAAAATCATTGTTATTCAATATTTCCCAGTTGGCTCTATCGCCAACAGAAACGTTTGTAGAAAGCCAGCGATCACTTCTCATCTTCTCACCAATCAACATCTAATTCCATGTAATTCCTGACAACAGCATTTATATCAGCTCTGAATGCCAACAGCATCATTAGCATTAATTGCACCACATCTGCTTCCTGTAATTGTGTGATCTCGTCTGGTCTTTCCTCTCAGCGGTTTTGCTCCTCTAGTCAGCCATCACGTGGAACGAGAGATTCATTAGCAATAATTACATGAAGCGAATGTGCTTCTGTAATGCTGTCGAACGAGACACCTTCAATAGCGATTTGAAGGTGTTAGTTTGGGGTCAGTTTTCACTCTACATTGTTGTTTCCTTCTTTATCGTACGAGATTGGATTATGACACTGATTGGTTGTTAGCGTTTGGAGCAAGTGACTGACAGACAGATGTGGGAGGTTAAAAAACACAAATACGTTGTTATTGTTCTTAAATACATTTTTACTTGTGTAATTGTTTATCTGATGTTTTACTTTTAATTCCAGCATTTCAACGCAAATATCTATTCCTTTGACATCTTACATTTTCAACTTATAGGACCATAACACAGAAAAGACTATTCCTTTTAGTATATCTATCAGTGCAGACCACACACAACAGATGTAACACGGTGTGAAAGACGTATCGAGACGAAAGAGAGAAGAGATGGAGACTCATCGTCTCTCGTAAAATTATGACAGAGAACCAGGCAACATCACTGATGACTTTAACGGCATCCACGAATACTTCAATACAAGAAACATGTCACCTCAATTTTTCTTGTTTTAACCTGTTTTTACTTAATTGTTTTTTATTTGATTTGAAGCAAGAGTGGTATAATTTGAATAGTCTTTAAACTTTACTAATGTGACATGAGTCTTAGTTTCCTTTGTATATATATATATATATATATATATATATATATATATATATATATGGATACATCGGGTTGAAATGACCTTTCTTTGAGAACATTCCAGAGTCTGGGCTTTAGACTCGGGTGAAGAGTTTACCTATGACAGGCAAACGGCCGCAGGTCTGTGCTGCAGAGACCAGTCACAATTCAAACATGCATAGTGAAAAACAATAAAACCCGACCGGATGTCTCACATGTCTCACCCGACTTTATTTACGATTTAATTCCTTCTGTTGTCAAATGTTACACGTATAGTCGACAGACAAACAACCTCGGTTTTCCTTGAGATTTATTATATTGTATATTCTTCACAGCACTGTCACACTGAGCCGCTATTTCAAGGCTTGTGTAACATCTTTTGCTATTCTGCCGACCTCAGGCGCCGTGGACCTCTCCTCCTCCCTTCACTGTCGCACCACGCTCGGTTAACTCCAAACACTGTCGAGCTCTGAGTGGTGTGTAGAGGCTGACTGCTGGTGAGAGATCAAGACTGGCAGCACCAGTGATTATGAATGTTCTGATGTTCACTGTTTCCCCATACGACAAGAGACACATGTATAATAATGTATAATTTTGTGTTATGTATAATCCACACTTACATACACAGACAAACATTGTAATCATGTTGAAATTAAAAAATATGAAGCCATGGAAAAAATCGAATGAGATTACTGGGTTTTTAATGGGTGCTCGGCCGGGGTAATAGATTACAAGTCCGGAAATTGATTTCTTTCATTTCTGTGCAGCAGAGTGCTAACAGTGCATTGGACTCCAAAAATAGGAACAATATGGGAGCATTAAATACAAAATTACTGCGGTTGTGTTGTCCATTAGCGAGATTGGTCAGTGTCTTCTGGGTTCAACCCATAATACCTCTCTCTGACATAAGCTGAACATGAATGCCATGTGTTCAATTTTGAATAGTTCCTTTAATCTGTGAAAAAGCATGAGACGTTCGCCCTCATGGAGGAACCATGACACATGTCATCACCTCCACAATAACAGAATATGACGTCAGTGCACATATGTCAATCAGCAGGGGTATGATGACATAAATAATTGCTTTGAGCCGCAGATTTTGACAGTGATGGCTGAACATGAGGAATCTGTTTGTTGTGCATGTTGATATTTTAACATTCAGCCCCTTTCTTTTGTTATCGCAGCTGATGTGAAAGAAATTGTCACGGCGACATCTGTTGCACTGTAGGAAAGAGCAGTGACACATTCATTACAGCGCATGCACCCTTACACATAAAGATAAGAAAAAAAGTGACAGCCCTTCCAATTGAATTTGATGTGATGTCAGACATGAGCTTATATTTCTATTCACATCCCTGCAGCCCTATATATATATATTTTTTTTAATCTGGCTGCATCTTCTGAGTTGATGGAGTGTTCTTTTATCAGCCCTGCAGCTGCCACCTGGACTGATGACACTCTCACACTTCCCTGCTGCACTCCATCTGCTTTGGGGATTTACAAAACATGACATAGTGTATATAACATCCAGTTTAAAAGATTAGACCTGATTCTGCATGGTTTACAGGCAGATGAGTTAATCAGATAAAAAATATCCATTTTTTTTTTTGCACACTACTTGGACAAAATCAGATCACTACAAACCCGTAGAAACACATCCAAATGACAAGCATGTAGACCATATCCAGCATATCATGAGGGATTTGTCTGACCAGCTGAGATTGTGAGGTGAGTGGTCAGCTAGTGGTAGCCAGGGTAACATGTCAATATGGAGAACACAGCAAAGCCCTGGAACCAGCTGCCTGAAGGAAGGTCCCATCCATTTCAATTTTTTCAAGGTCCTGTAACTAAACTATTACACACAATCTTAGGCCAAATCATTATTTCATTTCATTTCACATTTCTATTTTTTTTGTATTATTTAAATCCTTCAAATTATTATCTTTTTAAAATTTTACAGATGTATCTTTTTTATTTCTTCCCCCAATGTGGATTTCTATTCAAAATAGTGATTTGCAGCTGGTGTACAGGTCCGTCAGTGTAACAGTGAGAGTCGTTACCAGATGCCTCCAGTAGGGGGAGATTATTACCTCCAGCTGCGTCAGCTGCTACAAACAGAGAAATGTTGGCGTCATGAAAGTCAATGAATCCCTCTGTGTTCAGGTACCAGTTCTTTTTATGAATCAATCAGATTAATTCCAGAGTTGTTCAGTGACGCACTTTGTGTGTTTGTGTGTTGTCAAGTTATCAGGTTTCACAGCTAGCTTTAAAATGCTATGTGTACTAACCACGAGGCAACAGGCTAGTGGTGAATGAAAGCTAAAATACTTTGTAGCTAGTTATTGTTGTGTAGTTTGTTTCTGGCATGTTGTACTTCTGAAGTGTGAGTCTATACATGTGTGGGTTATATGTTGTGATACTGTTTTAACTGTATTAGTTTGTATAATAAATGTTCATGTATCTACCATTTAGCCAACTCTATTATTGGCATCTAATAATAGTCATGCAAAAAGTACAAAATGCCATATTAATGCATATTAATAATAATGATTAATAGTCTATGTATTTTCTAAAACATTGCAATCCAGGTTTTACTCATATTTGTGTGATGTTTTTAAAGTTATTGTATGTGTTATTGTTATATCAGGCGTTAAAATGGAAATATGAGTTTTTATTTATTAATTTTAGCATGTTTGATTGCAAACTATTTGTTGTGATTTTAGTTTTTACTATTTTTTTATTGCATTATTTTGTTTAATATATTGGAAATGTGTTTATCACATCTCAGAATGAAAAAAAACCAAACAATTTAGTCCGGCTAATACTTTGTCACATAATATTACAGTGTGGATGTCCTTTTAGCATAACTGTTTTCATTGTGTGCGATTTACGTGATGTACCTTTCCCTCTCTGCCACTGCCCGAAGAAAAAAAGAAAAAGCACCAGTTCTCTAAACCCTGTAAACCTAAACTTCTCCTTTCATACGTGTGCGGGCTGAATTTTCCTCTGCTGCTCTACATGAAATACATCTACATTAAAATTCACGAGGAACACATGTGCAAGTAATCATTTTTTTCTCTAAGGAAAGAAAATGGAACAGTAAATTTCCTTCACAGCTAGAAGTGCAGTGTTTGAAATATGGTTGAAGGATATAAGCCTTTCATGTAGTTGTCAACTGTGCATAATTGTACTTGTGAGTGAGCTTGAAGTATCGGACAAACTTCCTCTTACTTCCTCCCTGCTGTGAAGGCAATTAAAGTATAATGTAAAAATAAAGTGAATGGCCATGTCGCTGGTAATGCAGATTGTAGACCAGCACCTGTTTACACCTGGTTATTCCTCATGATATTATTTTCATGTTCCAGTTATAAGAATATGAGTGTATTGCGTAAAGGCAGTAAAACCAAACCAAAGTGCTGAAAGAAGATCAAAAGTCCCTGATGCTATTTTCTGTATTACACATACATTATAATTTGAGTTACTTGATTCAATGTAAATATCAAAATATTGATTTATGCACATTTAAGCATCTTTGGCTCATGTGTCTAACCTGCATGGGTATTTTTGGATGTATCCAGCTGTTGATCCTTCTTTTACCTTTCACTCCAGATCAGCCAGCCAGCAGTGGACTGATGCTGTCACTGCCACATCATTTAATGTGGTTTCATCTGTGACAAAACCGAGTCGACTGGAGTGCAGACATGTAGTCATGAGCCGTTCAGGGAAAACAAAACGACTCCGGCAGCAGAGGAGCTGAGGTGATGGACCATCCATTTGAGGTCAATAAAACACACGCAACCACACACGCACACACACACACACACACACACACACACACACACACACACACACACACGATCATGACAGCATCCAGGTTTCTGGTCACCTTCCTGAGTGTCATGATTCAACAACTCATTTAATCTTTTAATTAATACGATCTTCATTCAGCTCAAAGTCACAATTTCATATAGAATACTGTTAACTTGAGACAAAAACAATGGCCTGGTAGGAGGTAGAGCAGGTTGGTGATTCAATCTCAGTCTCCCCCATTACGGGTCCGTTAGAGTTCTTGGGCTACTGAACGCCAAATTGTCCTTGTGGAATGTAAGGCTAGTGTGTGATTGATGTGCCATAGAGAAAGTGCTGAACAGAAATGCTCCGCAGGACTGTGTGTGTGAATGGTGGAATGCCAAAACTGTACTATGAAAGCATTGAGTGGACACTGAGACTAGAGAAACGCTCAATGAAATACAGAACATTTAGAAAATGTAATAAAATAGGATACTGTTTGATGTGATGATTGAATGATATGTAATGTGTTTGTTGTGGAGACTTTATACCACTGAGTTTCTTTTCAGTTTCGGAGTTATAGAAACAAAAGATTATGCAAATAAAAAGATAGACATGCACATCATAAGATCGCAACAGGCAGGTTGAAGTGAACTGATATCATGCGTCCTGATTTTATATTTTACATCCAGTGACGAACGCAAGCAAACCAATACTCTCTGTCAGAGGCTTATTTAAGTGCATATTTCTCATTAGTCACTAACAGGTTCCTGCCTGTCTCACTTTTCCCGCTACAATCAACACAAATTGATAATGAAACAAATAAGCAGCGTACTTACCAATTATGACCAGATACATCCCCGCCCAGAAATCAACAGTAGGTGACAGTTTGGACGTGTATTTTTCATCCATGTTTGTCCAGTCAGTGGTAAAAAAAAACACACAGACACAAATTAAAGTCTCTAATCTACCTGAATTAAATTCTAGAAGCCTGAGTGTGTTGCGTCCAGTCTCTGTCTGACAACTGACACATTTTTCTGTACAGTGCACGGTGTTAAATGAGCGACAGAAGTCCCTTCATCCTGCTGTATACCAACTGCAAACCCAGACACACACCCTCACACACACACACACTGCTAATGCAGATTATAATTACTAACATCACTTAACAATACATGTCGCGCGTCCCTTTAAAAACACTAACACACACACATGCACACACACTCAAAATTCTATAATTACACAATAGGCTTGTTAGACTGTGAGTTACTAAGAATTAAAATCAGCTCTGCTCTTCACAACATTTGTGTAGGTTAATTATGAAAAATAAAGAATCGACGTAGGCTTCATGTTGAATGATGCTTTAGATTGAAGATTGAATTGAAGGTTAAATAGAATGGGATTAATATTTTAGTCAGGAGGATTTATGAGGCTAACCAGGTCACTGTGTCTGTCAATGATTATAATGTGAACAGAACATCCACGCTGTTGTTTTTTTATTGGCAAGAAGAGTGAAACAAATATGGTCAATGATGGAGTGAGCTGTGTCCTTAAAGGTCCAGTTTGTAAGATTTAGTGTAAAATGTAATTGGCAGAAATTTAATGTAAATTAATCCACATGATGTTTTCAATAGTTAATTTCATCTAAATTGTATGAATTGTAGTTTTCTTTACCCCAGAAAAGACCCTTTATATTTAAATACTTGATATTTACATCTAGGGGGTCCTCTCTACAGAAGCCGCCATGTTTTTTACATTAATCCCGACTGGACAAACTAAACACCTTTTTTAGGACAACTGAAGTCTACCACAGGTTCTTTTTCATGTTTGGAAGGAGAGGGTGAGGTGAGGGGTGTTCAGCTGCAACATGCAATTTCAACACTAGAAATCACAAAATACTACACACTGTACCTTTAAGTAATCCCTCACTTTTAATTTACAGTTTTTCTGAATTGGGAAGAGGGGTTTTGGTGCTACATATATTAATATATATATATATTTACTGTATTTTCCTGTTCAGGCCGTGCACAATATGGCTTAATGTGCCTTTTTGACCTCTGCCAAGAATGTTGTATTTTTGTCTGTTTGTTGGTTGTGTGTAATCAAGATAATATAAAAAACAACTAAGAGCATTTTCCCAAAACCTGATGAAAAATTCAGGAATGTTTAAGAAAATGATAGCTATGGTTAATATAAGGGGACTGTTAGGCCTTAGCAGAGGTGTACACTTTGTAGTGTTGGACTGAACTTACTGCCATGGCTCTGCGGAGCGGACATGGTGAACAACTAAAGAAAATTCCCTTCATGCTTGGAGGAAGTTATTTTGCAATGTCTCCAGGGATGACTGAATCCTTGACCCTGCTTAATGTAGCCTGCAGCGTGTTTTTACCTTGCACCCTCTCCACATTTGCTCGAGTGATCTTTGCACCTTTTTAAGTGTGAAAAAGCCAGTGAAAACGTCAGAGATCAGGATGTAGCTGCTATTATCAATTACTAACATCATATTGTCCTGTGTTTTCCTATGTCGCATTTCAGCTTGAAGGTGGCATGCAGGTCTGCACTGTTTTGAAATTAAACAAAAACCTAATCACTCACCTAACAAGCAGTTTCAGATAAGTTATGTTAATTCTTTACCTAAGGGTCAAAGCCATGCAATACAGATCTTGGTTATGATGTATGTGTGAAATAAACCATAAATGATTCATTTTAGTTCAAGTACTTTGTTCAAGGCTCCTTTTCCAAGAACTTCTGAAGCTTCTCTTTAGTGGAAATTTCATGTGGACCTCATGCAGTGCTGATTCTGTAATTATCTTAAAAGCAATCATAGCATGACGTATAATATCAGGGTTTGCTAATGGAGGTAGAAAGAAGGGAATGTTGGATTTTTCAGTTTTCTTTCCTCTTCTGAATATTACATGTTTTACAAATTGGTGAAACAGCAATATTATTGCAATTATATGGGGCTCATGTTTTTTGAAGATCCCAAAGAAAACAATCTTAAGCTGTGAAGACACTGTGTGACTTTAGAAATGCTGTTAAAGGGATAGTTCACCCAAAAATGAAATTTCACACATTATCTACTCACCACTATGTCGATGGATGGGCCAAGTGTTTGAGTCCGCAAAACAGTTCAACCACCACTTTTTCATTATTGGGTGAAATATCCCTTTAAATTCCACCTCGCACTGTATGAATAAATCGTCTGAGATGGACTCAAAGCTCCTGATTTATGTGCTCACACAGTACGTTGCCGTTGGTTCCTGTGGACCCTGGATGGACTGGTGTTATTGTCGCATTACGCGATATAGTGTGCTTAAACTGATTATTACAGACTGCCGAACTTAAGTCTAAGAGAACACATTAAACATACAGTAAAACAAATGTGGTATGGCAGCAATATAAATAACTATATAAAAAAAACAGGTGCTTTTGCAGTATCGCAAAACCAGGATGTGTTGGCTGCTTCCTGTTTTATGTGGAGAGGTTGATGATTGATGTAAGTATCACCTGGAGAGGATGGCGACAGTGAGGGAGATGACGACAATGGCATTATCTGCTTGTTTTCATGTCAGGTGTAATGATAATTATTAATGCTGATTAGAGATAAATAATCACATCCAGAGTGCTGCTCATCAACTGTATATAAACCCAATGTATCTTGTTTATTTTGGTATGAATAACAGATTCCTGCCAGCTTCCTTTAATTTTAGGTTCCTGCTCTCAGCATGAGTAATGGCCTCAAATTAATATCAACTGCAACAACTGATATATTCATGCAGAGTGGCATCAGCATCATGTCAGTAGTGTATTAAAATATGTACATATTTCATAGCGAAGTCACTTAGAGATACTTGTGATCGTGGTTTATAAGATGACACACTCAGACATAAGGAGATTGAATGTCTCAGGAGATTAACAGAGGGTTTGGTCGTTCTTCGCTGATATTCATAATGCTATCTGCAGGTCCATAGTGGTTTGAATGTAAAGTGATGTTATAATCCCTTTGACAGTGAAGACAGATGGAGGAAATTAAAAAGCCTTTCATTTTCAGCTCACACTTCCTCTTGTTCCTGAAAAAGGCACAGAAATGTTGGAAAAACGTACTTGTATCATGGTGCACATTGTCTGTGTATTGCTCCTATGTTGAAAGTACTGGAAGGATTTCAATACTGAATCTTTTCAATTTTAATTTGACGTTGATTTGTCCTTTTATTTAGCTTCATAGTTCATAAGAGTTGATTATAAAAGAGTTGTCATGTGGAGTAAAATGAAAAAGAAAATTGATGGAATGTTTGATGAGGTATGAAACAGGCTATAAGGGAAAGTCAGTTCTGAAAGTCTATGAAAAATGGTCAAACGGATGCCATACGCCATTCAAAGTTTGTGCTTTTTACTCATCTGCTGTCAGAGCTGGAATCAATAACAAGACTGACAGTGTGAAAAGGGAGCAGATGTATACACAGCCGCACATTCATTATTCCATCAACCAATTCATCAATAATTCATGAAATATGTATTAACCTGAATAAAAAGGTGACATAAGAATTAATTGAAATTGAAAATGACAGTCAGAGGTACAGTAGTTGGTCTAGTTATATCGGTAGAAACACAGCTAATCTGTAGTTAAATGTATTTGCAAGAGTTCCAGCTGTGAGGTTTCCATCGAGTACTGCTCACTTTATTGAAGGAAGGAAGGACTGCATTCGGTTATTAGGAGCAGTGGTTTAACAATTATTTTTTGCATTGATTTTGATCCCATTAAATTGGGCCAATATCCACTTACTCACCTGCCTCTGTCTTTATCCTGCATGATGGATGCAGATCTACTGATCTATGAAACGATCCTTCACTGACACTGTTCTAGAATTAAACAAAAACCTTATCACTTATCTAACAAGCAGTTTCAGATGAGTTCACAGCTCGATCGCTCATGTTAATTCTTTCCTAAGGGTCAAAGCCATGCAATACAGATCTTGGTTATGACGTATGTGTGAAATAAACCATAAATGATTCAATTTAGTTCAAGTACTTTGTTCAAGGCTCCTTTTCCAAGAACTTCTGAAGCTTCTCTTTAGTGGAAATTTCATGTGGACCTCATGCAGTGCTGATT